AAAATGTTACACTGTAGTACATATGTGCTTATGGATCTATTTTGAGCTTAAAAAATAAAACATTACTCCTACAGTTGCCTCTTTCTGATGATTTCATGTCTCATCCCTCTCTTCAAAGTAACCGCTGTTCTGAATTCAGTGTTTGTCATTTCGATACATGGCCTTTTATGGGAGGACTCCAAAATGTCCATGGAAAAATAGAACTAAAAGATAATGGAAAGTTTTCCACAAATGTGTCCATTTTAAAACCCCTCTTGATTTTACTATATTTGTGTATATTTCTAAATAATAAAGTGTTTTACAGCTTTTAATTTTATGCTAGTGGTATAATGCTTTATACATTTTGTTATGAATTAATTTTTTCATTATTACATCTTTAATCTTGCACAGATAGTTAGGCACTTGCTACCTTGTTGTGTTGTCAAGTGCCATCGAGTTGGTTCTGACTCATAGTAACCCTGCATAGGGTTTCCAAGGAGTTTGAACCTCTGACCTTGTGGTTTACAGTTCGGTGCTTATCCTACAGTGCCACACCAGGATCCTTGCTACATTGGCTCTTCTAAAATATTGTGTTGATTTTAAACAATGTAAACAAAATTCTCTGACCACTAAATATGTAGGGCTACCATTTTAGGTTTAGAGACTTGGTCCGTCTGTATTCTGACCCATGTTTGCTTATAGAGTTGCCTAATCGCTTTTCATTTCCTTCACACCCATAAACTTGTTGGGGGATACCAGGAGAAGAGCTTTCTACCCCCATCCCATTTCCTCTTAACTATCCAGCTGCCCAACCACACCTAGCTCTTTTCCTCCTTCTCTTTACCATCTTCCCCTTCTTTCATGGAAGTCAAAAACTTAACAGGAGAATGAGAAAGAAATCCCAAGATTATTGTGACATTTCTAGGATCATTCCATTCTGTGTGAAAATAGCCCACTTTGCTAATGGAACTTTGAAACTTAGGCCGCTGATGATAACTCTTCAAAGTGGTGAAGAACTTTATTTTGTCATTTAGTCAGTCATTAAGCAGGTATTTAATGACTGCCCACTGTGCCAGTTGTTGGGAGTATATAGTGAGCAAACAAGCATGGTCCCTACCCTCATGGAACTTGTAGTTTTATGAGGGAGACAGATTATAGTCATACAATCAGATGAGTAAACTAGACAGTTTATACCTGTAATCAATACTATGAAACAGCTTGTATAATAAGGGGATTTTACCTAGTTGGGGAGTTCAAATATGCCTTCTTGAGAAAGTGATGATGTAGGTGAGGCCTACAAGCCTGTGTGGGAGTTAATAAGGGGAAGAAGAGAAGCGATTGTTCCAGATCAAATGCAGAGGTCTTGAAGTAGGAGGTAGGAGGTACATGGCATATTTATGGTGCTAGAACCTAGAAAGTTAGAGGGGAGTAAGTGTGTAATAAAACCAGGCAGGGCCAGGTGGGCTATGGAAAAGGACTTTTTGTCTTCAGTGGGAAGCAATAGGAAGTAATTGTTTTGTGTGTTTTGCCATTTTTTCTAGTTTAAAAAACAGAAACTCCTCTTAGAACTGGACCAGTATGCCCCAGATGTGGCTGAACTCATTCGAACCCCAATGGAAATGCGTTACATTCCTCTGAAAGTGGCCCTGTTGTAAGTATTCCCTGACAAAACAGTGCCAACAAATATGAGGAAAATCTGATGAGACTTTCCCATGTTATTTGTTGTATTTTTGAGATTTGCAGACTTACTCATCAAGCATTTGCTGTAGTTTTGTTGCACAACTGGGTCTGGCCAGGCAAGAACACAGAGCCATTCTGTCCTTGTTGAGACAAAGACTCACACAGGGATGTGCACAATCAAACCTTTCACAAATGCTTTTAACTTGATGATGATTTGGGCTCAAGCCCTCTTGTAACAGTGTTTCTCTAAAAAAAATTCTTTAAATTTAATATATGAATTGAATAAAATTATGATCATATTTATGTGATTGCTTTTTTTTAAGCAGCTCCTATGTTTCTTGTATAGTGAAATCCCCCTTTTGTAATTCAGAAAACTGAAGTAACTGCCAAATTTTAGACCCATCCTAGCTGGGTGACCAATGTAGAAGAGTGGAGCTTACTGAGGCTTTATGAAAGAATTATCTTGAAATACCCAGTGCTGCCAGTAAGTGTAATTCTTCCAGCTTATTCCCATTTATGTTTCTGAGATAGGCAATTGTGAATAGTTATTAAGTCAACTAATAGTCACTGAGCATTAATAATATACTAGTTTCTAGGAATACATAGTAAATAAGGCAGACAACTTTCTGCATGGGAAAACATGACCTTAGAACTCCATAATTGGAAGAGGCCCTTATGGGAGTAGTTCATTCATCCCCCTCTTTTGTGTGATTGTCAGTATCCCAGATAGACGGTCATGCAGCTTCTACTTGACCATCACTGTTATTTAGCACTGACTTTTTTTTTACCCCTGCACCAAACAGTTTTGGAGTATCAGTTAATATCTATGTATTTTAGAAATAGTGGTTGGACTACCTAATAGAATTTATATGCAGAATTATATGAATCCCTTATGGACTCATGGCTCTTTTTTTTTTTTAAGTTTTTATTGTGAATTGAGTGAAAGTTTACAGGGCAGATCATCAGTTTCACATTCAACAAATGATATACTTTGTTTCATTACAATAATTATAATCCCCACCATGTACCATCAGTTTGGACTGTGTCTCTTGGAGGTAGTTTTGTAATAATAGTAGCTATTTCTTTAAAGATTGTGTAACACACTTATCTATAATTGATGGAAGAAAAAAAATACCAAGAATTTCTAGGCCTGGCTCTAGAGCTGCTAATCTTACAGACTAAGAAGGTATTGGATTTAAGGTCTTTATTTGTGGATAATAATTATAATCTCTTCCGAGATACTGGTATTTTTCTTCCTATCTGATAATCAGAATTATGCAACTGGTCTCCCTTTTCACTTTGTGTGCCAGGAAACTCAGAACTAGATTTGGAACTGATTATTACAGTGCTGAAGAAGACTCATTTGGGTTTTTTCCTGGCCTTTAATTTCTCCTTTTACTTATATTTTTCCCAGGTCTTGATTGTTTATTTCTGTTTTTATTTTGCTGTTATTATTGTTTCTTACTATATAGTTTTCTTTTTAGCTATCATGCATCTTTTGTGAAACCAAGACAGAAATAAATAAAAATAATACCCATCATGACTATGTAAGATTTCTCTACCCACAAGCATTTGGAATTCATATTCTCAGTCCATTCCCTCCTACCTCTGGAGGAGACTACGTGTTATGGTTTCTTCCCATTGGAAGGTCAGGATATCCCATGAAGTTTCATAGCAGCTGATTTGTTGAATTCAGCAGACATTTATTCTGCTTTTGGAGTCTGACTCACTGGCTTGACTCCCAAGAGGGCTAAATCTTAGCTACTGCTCTGACCTACTGGAATGATGGAGTCTGAGTCAGATCTTAGGAACCCAGTTGATAAAAAAAAAATATTTTCCTGATTTTTCAGAGGCAGCTATAGCCAATCTAAAGATAAATAGCTTTGTGGGAATTGGTCAAATGTTATCGTTCTTAAAGTCTGAAGTAGTAAAAAGACCAAGACTTTAAAGCCAGAAAGACCTGATTTTGAATGTATGTATTAGCTTGTGACATCTTGGGCAAGCTAACTCTTGCTGAATCTTGGTTTCCTCTTCTGCTAAATGGAAATGTTATTGCTAGTTTATAGAATCTCTGTAATGTTTAAATGTGAAGGTTTTACATATGCTAAGTAGCACCAAATAGACACTTAGTGTTCAGTACCTTGTACATACTCACCCCAATAGCTACTTCATTTTCTTTTACTTGAGAGGACTCAAGCAAAAGAGCATTGAATAAAAGAATTTGTCTTAATTTGTCTTCTATTGAGTGTAGTAGCATTTTTTTTTTTTTTTTTTTTTTACAAATTTAGTAAATGTGCTTTTAATAAATCTCCTGATGTCACTTGTTGTGGTGGCAAGAACTTCCTGGTTCATTGATCGGGATTACTAATGTCAAATATATCTGTTTTTCCCCAGCTATCTCTTAAATCCCTACACAGTCTTGTCTTGTGTGGCCAAGTCTACCTGCACAATCAACAACACCCTCATTGCTTTCTTCATTTTGACCACAATAAAAGGTAAGGCCTGAAGGAGAATGTAAAACTCAGTCTCTGATTAATGCAGGATTTTGTGATACTTAGAAGCTGTGGCTTTTTGTTTTAAACAGTGCTGCATTTGATATTTTTTAATTACATAGGTAATACAGTAGTGTAGTGGATTATGAACTAGGCTGCTAACCACAAGGTCAGCAGTTCGAATCTACCAGTTGCTCTGTGGGAAAAAGATGAGATTTTCTGCTCCTGTAAAATTTTCCAGATTTGAAAACCCTATATACAGGGTTGTTAGGAATCAGAACCGACTTGGTGACACACAACCACCACCACAATAAGAAAACTAGAAAATGTAAATAATTCCAGAGGAAAAAAAATATTAATTAAAACAGTCTGAAATTCTACCATTTAGAGAGTCACTGTTAACATAGTTTAAAAAAAATATTTTTTAAAGGCTTCTAATGAGAATAACATTCCTCTATTTTCTTTGCCCATACCCTGTTCACAATTTTTGAAGCAGTTACTTTCTGGCTTTTTCTAGTATTTATTTCCATATTTCAAAATAAGATCTTGTATTACTTACTATCTTATAATTAATTTTAGGCACTATCAGTTGTTCTATGTTCCATTATCCGAAAGGATTCATATCACAGTTTTATTCAATCCACCTTTATTAAAACCTAGGTTTTATAACAAGGGGACATCAAAAAGTTCATGGAAAATTCCATTGTCTTTTAGTTTTATTTTTCCACTTATTTTTTGAAGCACAGTACTAACTGTGATTACTTTTCCTTTGTTGATGATAATCTTTTTTTTTTTTTTTAAACTTTTTATTGTGAATTGAGTAAAGCTTTACAGAACAGATGATCAGTTTTACATTCAACAAATCATATACTTTACTTCATTATACAGTTGTAATCCCCTCTATGCACCAGTGGTTAACAGCATTTATCTCTATTCACTTTAACCACTGCATTCTTCCCTGAGTCTCCTGCCACCCCCATCTTTCCTCTGCCAACCTTCTTCCAGTTGTATATTGCCTGCCCCGTCACCCATGTCAACGTTTGTCTACCCTCTAGCATATGTGTCATTTCCTTCTCCCCCACAAACCCTCATAGATTGTTTCTTTTATCAAGAAAACCCCCCTCTCTCTTTTTCACCCCTTTGATGTACAAACAAACAAACAAAAACAAAAACCACACAGGGATGTATAATTGTTTAAACAACCAAGGGGCACATTCTAGTATCCATTATCCTGGCCACTAGCACACAGCCTTTCTGTTTCCATGAGTCTAGAGTCCTCAGATGCTCAATCTCCACATGCCATCACCTCTGCCTCCATCTCTGGTGTCACCCCTTCTCA